GAAAATTCTTGACCCACCGGGATTCGAACGCCGACCCCTTGTCGTCGAACCCATAGCCAGTCGCTTTACTGACTACACTATCCCAACGTTGTGAAATAGTGGCTGGGACTCCAACTACGTATGCAGGACCCTTCACGGCTGATTATTCGTTCGGGTATCGGATATTGTGACAGAGTTTTCGTTATGTCAAATGGGGTTATGAGATAATGCCTCAAAATAAGCCACGATCTTATCAATTACATGGACCTAATTATACTGCTGTTTATTGAGTAAAAAATTGAGCCGTTGATAGATCGACTTTAAGGAAATAAGTAAATATTTTCGGCTAGAATTGGCTTAGGAACGGATTAAGATGCTACAGAAGCAAAGCTGAGTCCTCTGGTGGTCACAGAAGTTACTAAGGTTCCAAATCTATTTACACTCTTTTCACGTATATTCCTTACTAAATTAACTGGTTATCCTACACATCTCACTCGCCGATCAGCGCCTGCGCGATCTAAGGCATGAACTGTCTTCGCTCTCTCGAACTTTGGGATCATGGGTTCGAATCCCACTCGAGACATGGATGTCTGTGTGTAGGTAGTGACCTTGAGACTGGCTGATCTCCCGTACAGTGAGTCCTACAGGCTGTGTGTAAAATTAAGGAACTGAAAGGGCGGCCACAGTCCAATAAAGGACGGTAAAACCATAGATAGATTAGGTACATATTCGACCTGTGTTACGTACCTATTTATATGATGAATTGTTTCAAGAAAGCCTTGAGCAACTACTTGGGTCATACAGATTTGAGTGATCGAATTATTACGAACGATGAATGAAAACTGACGTGAGAAAGCAATGATGCGTCCTGTGTAAGAATCTACCCTAACATTTCCCTGAGGACGGCAAGCAAAATAACAGAAAAGCCCAACAGGAGAGGAGATCACAGCGCCACGGTCTCTTGGGTACCAAGCAGGAGCGCTCTCTTCGAATTGTTTGACCCCTCTGCATGAATATAACGCACCCAGCATAATTCGTTACGTGTTGACGTATATATCTTGCGTTCGGGGCGGATCTGGCATTTATTGTGGCTGTATAACACATGTGTGAAAGGGCACATCCCTCAGTTCGCTTCGTACATTCTCGGTTCGGCCTCACCGGCTAAGTCGCGCTGCAAGATTTCTGCATGTATACACCGCACTCAGATCGAAGTAAACTGATCATTATCCCAATACCGTGGAGAAGTCACAGAAACCTAAAATTCGGAAGACACATACGTGAATAGTTGATTGCCCTATTTTTTTCCTCCTTGGCACTACAGCCCCAGTGGGCGTAGGCCTACCTCCATGAACTTCTTCGTTCACTTCGGTTTTTCTAGATCTTACACATTCGGTAGGACTCCTTGGGCGGGTGATCAGCTCGTCGCAAGGCCTCTACATGTACACAAACACAGAAAAACGC